ACAGCCCTGGCTGCCCTGGAACTCACTCTGTAGACCAGGCTGGCCTTGAACTCAGCCTGCCTCTGCCTCCCAAGTCCTGGGATTAAAGGCGTGTGCTATCACCACCCGGCCAAACACATCACTTTTAAGCCACAACCTTCTACCTCTTTGCCCCATAAGCTTATGACAGTTTTATACCTTAAAAACATAGTCATTACAACTTAAAAGTTCCCATAGCCCAACTTTAAATATTCCCATAGTCATTAATCATTCCAAAACTTTAAAAGTCCAAAGTCTCTTAACTGTGAATGAACTCCTATAAAATAAAATTAAAAAAAAAACAAGTTATATACTTCCAACATACAATGGCACACAGTAAACATTCTTATTCCAAAATGGAAGACTCAGAGCATAAACAAAATAAAAAAAACTCCAAAGCAAAACTGAAGTCGAACAGGCCAAACATGAAAGCCTGTAGCTCTTTGCTCAACCTCTGCAGCTTGTGACGTTATCTGCTGGGCTCCAAGAGGCTCTGGCGGTCCTCACTCCTCCAGCCTTGCCGCCCACAGCACCCGTGGCTTCTGTCTCAGATCTGGGTCCACTCTGCTTCACAGCAGTTCTCCTTGGGGTCTCCAGTATTCTGGGGTCTCCCCCGCCCCTTAGGCTTCATCTGGGGCCTCTCCTTGGGTTTGCAATTCTGCCACACAGTGCTTGGCCTCAGCTGGCTTCCATGACCGCCCCAGTTTTGGATCTTCATGCCTTCAAAACCGACACCGCATAAGGACATGGCCAATTTCTGCTGCCAGTCTGAAGTCAGCCGAGTCCCCTCAGGTGGCTCCTGTGTTCTCCCCAGGGAAACACTTTCCTGTTGTCCCAGCGCCAAGCACCAGGCTCCTCTGGACTCTCTTTAAGTTATAGACGTTTGTAAACTCTTTGGGTTTTGTGCCCTCCTTGTCTAAAACTTAAACCTTTCCCACACACCTTTCCTCCACCAAACAAATTAGTTCATCATCTTTAAATGTAACTTCATTTGAGTTCTTAGGACATGAGCAGAATGAAGGCAGATTCCTGGCCAAAACGTCACTCAAACAGGCCAGTAGCCAAGTTTATGACGGAGTCCTTGGTTACTGAAACCTCATGAGCCAGACCTCCACATTTCTCTATCCACTTGTCTTCCTAGATGCATTATATAAGAACATCCCATCGGACCGTTTACATTATTCAGTGGTTTTCTATCCCAGAGTTCCAAACTTCCCTACATTCCTCCACAAAACAGTCCCGAAGGCCTGAAAGCCACAGGGTCAGGTTCACCACACCAGCAACCCACTCTCACTACCAGTTTCTTTCTGTCTCAGCTTTTTTCCCTGTTTCTTGGATAAAAGACCCTGTCAAAACCAACTTACAGGAGAGAGTACTTATTTATCTCATGGTTACAGGTTACATTCCACCATGGCATGGGAGTAAGTCATGTGCGGTAGGAGCTTGAAGTGGCTGGTCACATTACATCTGCAGTCATAAGAGAGTCATGAATGCGTGTGTGCATGCTCAACTTGCTTTCTCCATTCATACAGTCTAGGATCCCATGCCTAGGGAATGGTCCCACCCATGGTAGGCAGTCTTTCCACCTCAACATAGTAAAGACAATCCTTTATAGACACCCTCAGAGACTAGCCTTAGTTTAGATAATCCCTCACAGATATGCCCAGAGGTTTATCAAGTAAACAATGCCAACCATCATAACTATTAATTCTGTCATGGAAGGTTTATTCTCATGACCAAATTTACCCTACAAAGTCTTCGTCTCCAAATGCCATACACTGTGGGCTCATTTCAACATATGAGCTTGTAGGGTGGGTGCAACCATTAAGGTCATGCAGTACTACAAAGCTGAATCCTGAGTAATTTTCTAGGCTCATGTTTCATGACTTTTTCTCCACAATCATGCACTGCCAAGAGCTTTGGAACTGAACAAAGACATCCTTAGGTCTATTTTCCAGGGTGTGTGAGTGTGTGTGTGTGTGTGTGTGTGTGTGTGTGTGTGTGTGTGTGCATGTGTACAAGCACATGTATAATGCTGATGATGTTTCCACTCATTTCTGTCCCTTCTCTATCTGCTGTCAGTCAGAATGTGTAAATGGGAAGACTGGTGGGGTTAATTTTTCTCTTAGAAAAAGTAATTAATATTGACTGTAGGGCAGATCCACGTGTGTTTTATGAAAGCACAATTGGTTCCTCTGTCCAGCGTGGCAGTAGGGTGGTGAGGGCGTAGTGGAGATGCTCCAGTGAACCTTATCATTACAGTCACTGTTCCTGATTGCTTTACTTAAATTAGATGTCTGGTAGCCAATCTCAATTCAGAGATCAGGCTGGTTGGGAACCTAATATGTCGATAAGAAAATAAATTGAATTTCTTGTTCACAAAAGCACGGTGGTCCCACATCAGATAGAGCCAAAATTTGCTGGTAACTGAACTCTCTTTGGAATTCAGCCATTTTCTAGGGACAGAATTTTAATCTAAATATCCATGCTTATCAGTTGCTGTCCTTAATTTGGAGGCTAGCCCCTAAATTGGAATGATAATTTAGTTCAAAACTGGAAAGGATTTAGGGAGTTCTTAGGACCTCAGGTTCTTAAGGGAGCTTCCAGGGAGCCAGCCCACAGAGGTGAAGCCCTGTTTCCCCTGGTTTAGCACATAGATTACGCACGTCACCTCATATAGCAGCCGTTCCAGTGAGAATGCTGTAAAACTTCAACGAGATAATGAGACCAAAAGAGGGTGAAAAGCAGCAGCAGTGACTAACTCCCTCCCAAACCCTTCTTAACATGGCCCTGGTCTCTCAGAGGTAATACAGGGAAAAACATCTTTATTTTGTAAAGGAGAAATCCACAGAGTCTATTTAAAGAGCAGAGGAATTTATTAGGGGGTAACTCACTACAGCATGGGAGGCTTATCGTAGGGTCAAGGAAAGCCGAGCTATGTCCCACACTGATCTTCTGCCTGGTCCAAACTGCCTGGTCAGTCCCAGCATCCAAACCACGAGGGAGCCAAGAGAGTGCCATGTACATGCATCCCAGGTCTTAGGAGTCCCTAGCGGCCACGACCTAGGGGCATGTACTTCAAGGTCATAGGCACAGAGCAGTCACCTGCTGCCTCTCTAGGGGCAGTGCTTCAGGGCCATAGCTAGAACAACCACCCACTACAATTTTACTCTGATTAATGATATAATTAATGTTCATTGTAACAAGGTTTTTATTTTGGTTCATGTGTATGTGTGGTGCATGTATGAAAATGTGTAGGTGCACAAATGTGTCCTTGTGCGAATGGAGGCTAGAGTTCACATTAGGTATCATTTTTTTTAACGTTCTCTACCTTGTTTTTTGAGATAGGGTCTCTAAATGAATGTGGAGCTCACAATTTTGCAAGACCAGTTGGCCAGGGAGCCTAGAGATCCCCAGCTCCAGGATTACAGGTGTGAGCTACCACCCGAGTCTTTAGACGGGTGCTTGGGATCCGAACTCAGATCCTCAAGTCAGTGAGCACCTTCCTGACTGAGCCACGTCTCTGGCCCCAGTGTAAGGAAGGTTTTAAAGCTCTGAAAATGTGAGGCTTTGTCTTAAATTTCCACTTTCTTCTGCTTCAATTACTGTGCTCCACTCAACAGACGTAGGGGATTCCTTTTCCTTTGTCCTCAGCTCCATTATATATACTTATAATTAGGGTGTGTGTGTGTGTGTGTGTGTGTGTGTGTGTGTCTGTCTGTGTGTGTGCCTGTGTGTGTCTGTGTGTGTGTGTGTCTGTCTGTGTGTGTGCCTGTGTGTGTCTGTGTGTGTGTGTGCCTGTGTGTGTGTGTGCCTGTGTGTGTGTGCCTGTGTGTGTGTGCCTGCGTGTTTCTTTTCTCTTTTTTTCCTTGAAGTATGAAAACTCAAACTCAATAAACAGTGTTGCATTAAACCTAAGAATGTTGGAAGACCTAGGCAAAAATAACCTCACACTGATGAGTTATAGAAGGAAATAACTTGTTAGGAAATGAGAAGCATTCCTGTGCACTTCCTCCCAGGCCACTGTGCTTCGGGTGGGATTTCCACAGCATGATTGGTTTGGGTCACTAACCATACACTCGTGCTCAGCACTGCCCTATTAATTGTAAATCCATCCATTCAAGGACAACTTTTTTATTACACTGTTTTTGTAACTTAGTCTTTCTGGGAGTGTCTGTTATTTGTCTTAACAAATCACCTATCGTGGTGCTCATGGGCCCCATGCCTTGTGACTTAGATTTTTTTCTTCCCGCTTTGACATGGTTCATGCTCAGGCCCATCCCCTGCTCTTTAGCACAGGCTGTATAGACTTATTCCCTTCTTCAACAACTGAGATATTTGCTCCGTAGTCTGGTCAGAGCTTTCTCACTTCTCCCTGACCGTGCATGAGTGTTTTTATTTCTGTTAAACATCTGACCGTTAATTTCCTTACCGCTATTCTTTAGTCATAACTGTCTCATCGCTCAGAGGCTGGCTCCACATCACTGCTGATGTAACTCCAAATAAAAGGACCATACACTAGAGCCTTGCTCAGAAATACAGAAGCAACAGAAATCTACCCAGATACTTTCTGTTCTGTTCTATCCTGTTGTTTTGTTGAGACGGGGCTTCAATACGCAGCCAAGTCCTGGGTCTGTGGGTATGTGCCACGGCACCTGGCTTAGAATGCTTTATTGAATTGTTCAAACCAAGTGTTCAGCCACTAGAGATTCAGCAGCTTTGGGAGCAGGCCATCTCCTTTTCAAATCCTGGCAATTTGGCCAGGAGATAATTGCCCATGTGAGCAGAGGGACTGGGAGCTAGATGGGAGAGACTGTTGCTTAGAACCAAGGCCAGGTTTTGCAGGCCACTGAGAGGATGGCCGAGGCCTTGGAAAGCAACAGAAGAAGCATCGGCTTTGTTAATCCCAAAGGTAAGAGGAGAAAGACCACCAACCCAAATCATCATTGCCAAATTAATTAAAACAAGCTTTTTTTAAAAAAAAATTCTTCTATATGGTCTGCTTCCCCCTAAGGTGGGATTCAAGAGGTCAGCATTGGGTGTGAGGAAGACAAGGCTTTTATAGATCAGGGGTAGGGGTTTTCCCAATGGGGGATTTGATGGGCAGAATAGGCAGGGTTACAGGTCCGGAACATAAGCATAACAAATCAGTCCCTCCTGAAACAAAGACATGGTTGCAAGGTGGGCATAGTGAGGTGGTCATAACTACAGATAGTCATGACAAGATAGTCCTAGGTGGTCATAACCTTTTGAAACAAAGGTAAGGTTGCAAGATGGTTACAACCAACTTCTTGAAACAAAGACATGATTGCCATTTCTGGAAGAGGCAGTACAGAACCATTTGTAGTTAAGGTTACAGGTGGGACATAGCTTAATCCTTGAGGAACACAGGTTTAATGATAAACAGGAGTGAATCTAGTTTGTCTTTACTGATGGCTTTTAAGCCTAAGATGGAGGCAGTCTAGTTCTTCAGCTTTGGATTCAAGCCTGGATTCACATTTAAGCTCAATCACACATCAGACGTTACCTTTTGTTTCCCATTCTCTCCTATTTGAAACAGAAATGATACACACTTCACAAGGCTATTTATTATTAAGGTCAGATGAGATAGCATGTAGAAGGCTATTGTGGTTCCCGGCTCATAGCTGCTCAATGACTAAGAACTATTAGTAACAAACTGTAGAATGATCCCCCAAAGTTTAGCCTTGACTAGTAACTACCATTAACTCTGTTGGAGTAGCTCATTTCCATCAAGGATCAGCAGCTAAGTGACAAATCGTAAGCCATGAACTGTTTCTAGATAGGCGAACAGTTTCTTATGCTGAATTACCTGAAATTCAAGTACCAATTTATTAAATATTTGGCAGTTGATGTGACTTCTGAGGAGAAATCTTTAATAGAATGAAAACTGTTTTCTTAGCCAACGGCCACAGTGAGACTCACCCTGTCCTTGCACAGGGCACAGACGAGAGAACAGAATTCCAAGGAGAGATTCAATTGTTTTGATAACATCAAACAAATTGTTTTGAACACTGCAAGCAGTGAGATAATGGAAATTGACTCATACTGAAAAGCACACATGCCACAAGAAAAACACAAAACATAATACAGTGTGATATCAGGATAATATATTTGACAGCAATGATCATTTTAATATTTTGTGTTAGCACTATCTCATATCCACCACACATGTGCACACACACACATGACACACACACACACATGACACACACCTGGGCCCTTGTGAAGTATCAGGTAAAGTGATGTTTTGATCTTTGATTCTGTGAACACGTTAGACAAGTCTCTCACAGCCATGTACTTAAGGCTGACATTGTGACTGGAAGCCTCTTTGGGCACAGGGTCAACTGGGAGGAGTGGGAAGACTGTTAAAGTTGGGAGGAAGAAAGGCAGGATGGCATCTCTACACTCACAGCCAGCTCCTCATGAGGAAGCATTCTTAGGCGTCTTGGGCTACAGAAAGTGTTGAAGACTCAACACGTGTGGCCGGAGAGGAGGCTCGATAGAGCACAGGCTGTGGTTCCGTAGACTTGGGCCCTATGCACCTCACAAGTGTCTGGAATGCCATCTCAGGGGATCTGACATCCTCTTCTAGGCACTAGGCATACTTGTGATACACAGGCATGCATGCAGACAAAACACCCATATACATTAAAAAATAAATATTTTTAAAGGATCAACACACCATTTCTCCTCCTGAATTGTAAAGCTTTGCACCACACAGCCCTGGTCTAGGGCTGAACAAAGCGTGTCTGTCACCTGCTCACAGAAGGTATCTGGGTCTTCTCCAAATCGGAACAAATCTTGGTGCAAGTAAGAAAAGTTCACAACTGAAGAGGCCATTTGATCCTGACTATCCTCAAGCAGCAAAGGGCACCACATTCTCTGCAGCCGCCTTTATCAGGGTCTTTTCCATTCATTGTATTGGACAAAACCAACCTCTAGTCCCGAGACAGGAGTAGGCGCCTTCAGTCAAGACTGCCTTGGAACTGGGTTTCTGGATGTGAGGAAGGCAGGAAAGGGAGGGGGCTGTGCTAAACTCTGGGGACCCTCAGGACTGTCTCCCAGGCGCTGGCACAGGCTCTAAGACAAACTCTTTCTTGGCCATCCCTACCAGACCTAACCTGGGCCGGTTCTTGCCAGCTTGACGTAGACTCTGGAGAGGGGAGGAAGGGTTTTGTCTGGATCTCACAGTCACAGTGTGGTGACAGGCCTTGGCTCCTCCAGCGCCGGCTTCACTCTTGGAGCAGGTGTTAAGTGTGAATAACTCTTGGTGAAGACGGTCCGGTGTGGTCTTGAATAGAGCCGAGGCACCATGCGTGTGGGACTGGTGATATACTAATGGGTAAAGTGCTAACTGTGCAAACGTGAAACCTGAGTCGGGACCCTGAGCACCCATTGAAAATCCAGGTGTGGCAGGGAGCCTGTAACCTCAGTGCTGGGGGTGAAGACGGAGGAACCTGAGGCTTGCTGACGAGCCAGTCTAGCCGAATCTACCCGCTCCAGATTCAGTGAAAGACCCTGTGTCAAAAGGGACAGACAGAAGACAGACGTCTGATACAGACCTTTGGCCTTCACGTGCAGCCACAGGCACACACCGACACACAGGTACACACACACTCTCCAACTTTGTACACTCACACACATACAAAGAAAGCCTTACGTGTGTGTCTGGAGTTCCTTTAGATGGAGCCTAGAGCCCATCCTCACCCTTTTCTTCTTCTGCCCTGGTAACTAGCATGCGTAATCACGGTTTTCTTTTCTCTCCTGGAGCCCATCAAGGACTGACACTCATCACTCAGGGTGAGGCCTAGCAATCTCTTAGAATGATAGCAACAGAGATTGACTGAACCTTAAAGCTGAGAAAGATAAGGGCAAGCAAATAACCCAGGAATTAAGCCCCAAGGTAGAACCTCGCATTTGATCACAATTATTTAGCTGAAATGTATGTGAATACATGCACCATCTAGATACAATCAATTTTATACGTTAAAATAATTGCTTATCAAATAAATCAATTTAATAATATTCCCACTCTGTCCAATACCATTAGTCACATTAAGTGACAAAATATACATGTTTGAATGACAGTATTTGCAGGTCAAAGTTACCTTAGCCGATTTACACAGAACAAAAACTAAAAACTCCTGATTCGCTTGAAGCTGAGCTAGATCTGGCAGGACTTTCCCAACCCTCTGGTCTGAGTTGATTCTTTACTGAACTGGAGCTTCAAAGAGCCCGCTAGTATTAGCCTATAGGCTTCAGGCATGTGTGTGTGTGTGTGTGTGTGTGTGTGTGTGTGTGTGTGTGTGTGTGTGTGTGTGTGTCGGGGTGGTGGTGGTGCGGGAGTGTGTGCATGCAGGGGCCAGAGGAGGCCCTTGGGTGGTGTCTGTAACTCCTCTCGACCTTGTTCTCTTGAGACAGGTTCTCTCACGGAACCTGAAGTTTACCCTTTGGATTGGCTGGCTTGTGGACTCTCAGGAATCACCTATTTCTGTATCCTCCCCAATTCTTAAGGTAGGATTCAGCCTCAGCATCTTCATCTGTAATGTGAATGAGCCAAAAGAGTTATCACTGAGGTCCCTCGGGGCATGAATTTTGCATTGACAATCCGCTGTAGAACACGATGAAATAATGGTTCTTTTGTCATTCTCTTGGGGCTGTTTCTATCGCTGGGAATCACGCCGACAGATGCAGGCATCACATGGAACCAGTGACAGCGAGGTCTAACTGAATAATGGCCATGTTCGGAGGCCCCTGCTTCTCTAAAGAGTAAGAAAATGGTCTTTCAGGTTTTGTTTTGAGAAACAAGCTTGTCGATGGTTGTGCATGGGAGGGCAGAAAAGTGCAAGACGGGATGCATTCTCAAATCTGTCAGTACTCCGGTGCACTTTTGCTCTGCCTGCTCGCAGTGCCGAGTATTTGGTCGGGCGGAGGCTGCGGGGTAGAGCTGCGGGGTGTGGTGCTTGGAGCCAAAGCAGGTTTGACTGCTAAGCCGGCACCAGAGCCGGGAGCCTTGGCGGGGAGGGCCGGAGTCGGGCTGCAGGAGGTCACCTGCGGAGCCGGCGCTACGCTGCAGCACCCGGCTAGCCGCGCCTGCTCCCACGCGGACGGATATCAGGTGATGTCGCAGCCCAGGTGGCTCCGGGGAGGTGAGGCAGGAGAAAGAAGCGGCTAGCTCACTTAGCTTTGGCACTTGGTGGTCTAGATCTCGCTGGGGAGGAGGTGCCGCGTGGATGGCGTGCCGGGGACCAGCGCGAGCGGTGGCCCAGCCCTCTGGATCCCTCTGGCTGTGCCTGGGACCCAGGGCTGGGTGGAGCAGCCCCTGGCGGTGCCAACGCTGAGGGCGTGCTCCGTAGCCGAGCTTCCCCTGGCTCCACCTGCAGGGTACCACGGGCCGCGCGCGGGCCGCGAACCCTCGAGCAGTGAAGGCGGGCGGGCGGGCTGCAGGAGGAGGAGGAGGAGCCGGGAGCACGGCCGAAGGACGCTGGCCCTCCGGGAGCGGCCCCTAACTTGACCCAGCTGGCGTTTGCGAGACGGCGGAGACGCTGTCGCTGCAGCCCGGCCACGCTGCGCCCTTTGAGGCTGCGCCCTCCCGGAGCTGCGCCCTCCCGGAGCTGCGCCCTCCCCGAGCAGCACCTGCCCCGGGAGCCCGGGCTGCTGCGGGCAGGAGCATGAAGCCGGCCGCCGAGCACCCACGCCGAGGCAGTGCAGACCCGCGATGGCTGCGCAGCTGCCCTGCCGCCGCTGTGTAGGGTGAGTGAACATCTGGGAGGGGGGTGCCCTGCTCCGCTGCGGTGACCTTTTGACTTTCCAACCCAGGAGAGCTGGAGTTGCAGGAGTTAATCCTATCTAACACTTTACAGCCAGCTGTCCTGGACACAGCCTCACATCCCTGGTCCCTCTCTCTGGAACCGTTAGCTCCGCCCTCCCGATCTTGTTCCGAGCCCTCACATTAAAGTGTTTGATGGTGAGAGGCAGGTCCCCTTCCCACCTGAAGAGTGAGTGAAGGCTTTCAGGTAAAGTGGCACTTGATGAGCCGAGCGAGTATTGGTGGCTGTACTCTTGGAAGCCGTGGGAGGCTGCATCTTGAGGGGAAATGATGCAAATGAGAAAGAAGTGAAAGAATAACGGGTGGGGTCCTCGGCCGCTAGAGAAGGCTCTGAGAAGCACGTAGTTTCTCTCTCTCCGGCCCGACCCCTCCCATCCTTTACTGGAGGTCACAGAACACTGTAAACCAGTGAACCGCCACATAAACTGCTGCCTGTGTGTATCAGATGGAGATTCTTAGGTGAAATTTCAGGGGGTTAAAGAGTCTACTTCTATTATGGCAAATCACAGGTCAACGTCAGCAGGTGGGTAATCTGTTTTTCCTTCGAATGGGGTTGTTTGTAGCTCCTGATACAGCTGTCGTGTATGTATAGATGGGAAATAATGCTGCTTAGGCAGAATGGTTCGGGCGGGGGGGGGGGGATGGTAACTTCAGATTTTACCTTTTCTTTCTTTCTTATTAACTTCAGGAGCTAACAGAAGGGTACTTTACGCTCATGTCTACCCTCCAGTTAGTTTCAATATACTGTCCACACCCCACTTCTGACAGAAGCCAGGTTTTGATTGGCCACTTCAGTGCCAGGAAGCTCCCTGTGTTTGGAGGTAACATCCTGTTTCTGTCAGCAAGGCTGTGTTTACACAGTGTCTCATTAGTCCTGCCCTAGCCAACAACCTCCCAACTTCTGAGATTACAGGCAAGAATTCTTTTTGTTACAAAGAAATCTAAAATTTTCATCTGTAGTCCATCTCGCTCACCCCCAAAAAAAGAAAAGAAAGAAGAAAGGAAAGAAAAAAGAAAGAAATGAGAAAGCAATAAAGAAATGAAAGACGGAGCTAGTTTTCATCTGTTACGCTGGCTGCTGTGAGGACGAAATGGTTAATCCACGGAGGACATACAGGTGCTCAGAAGACGCGGCATACTTTTCTTTAATGAGTAACCAAAATTGAGTTAAACACATCAGTCTATTTTGAACAGCCAGAATATGACTTTCTACCATTAAGTAAACGTTCCTGCTTGACTGAAACCATCACGGAATCCTTTATTTGTTGCCAAGCAGACTTCATTCATCTTTAAATGGGGCAGCTTAGTGCTTCTTGAGAGGAACTCTTTCTCTTTTGGCTTATGTTACTTTAAACCTCTAGTTTCCACTTTAATAGATATAGTTCAACTTTGAGTCTGACATCCATTGTGTCAGTTCTTCACATCTGAGAATTTATTTGACATTCATGTCACTGAGAATGCCCAGCACAGGCCCTTTTGGGCTGAAGGCTGCACAGTTAGGAGCCTGAGGGATGGTACGTAGTCCTTGACAGGTCAGTAAAATGAAGTTACTGCCCTCCACGTTCAGGGTGATTGCTGAACTTCAAAGCACTGAAAAAGCCAAGCATGATAGTGGCTGGAAATCTAGTTGATCCCAGTAGATATTAGTGAACCAGATGAATCCGGCACTTAAATTGTTCTAGTTTGTTGCTCTTTTCTGAAAGGGAGGTCTAATCAAGTGCCTTGCTTAAAACAGACTCTGGGTTTTACTCCTGATGAAACCAGTCAGCCTCCAACTCCTAGAAATACAGACCACTGCCCCTGCCCAAGCGTTGCCTGCTCACATCCTTAATTTTACTAGAGATTTACGTCAAACTGGTCGATGGAGCTTGGGAATCCTAATTCATTTTCTGTATTTTAGTATTATAAATTGACATTGGGGCAGAGTTGTGTAAGTGACTGTAGCTTCTTGAGACCTTCCTATAGGTTTTTGGGAGATTCCCAGGACATTCCTATGCTCATAACTCCAGGTTCTCTTGGGTGCTAGCGTCTGAGTGTTCTGAATGGGAAGGCATGGGTGTTTACCTCTTCAGCTTGCCCCTCAGTTCCCTTTCATCTTTCTATCCTTTCCATCTTGATGCTCATAAGGCAGGAAGACAGTCACTTTCCTTCTCTAATTAATTAACACACCATCTGCCTTTGGATTCTAGGATTCTGTTAACTCGTACATATGTTCCATAACAAATGCACAATGAACAATGCACCAAATTGGGGGTATCATAATGCTGATAAGGTCAAAGTTTCGACAATAGTACATAACTCTAGACAGCATGTAGTATGGAAACACTATATTTTAAGAATTATTTCTTAAAATGAAGGGCGAGAAATCACACATTTTCCACAAGGGGCTGGAGGTGAACAGGTCCATGAAGCTAGATGGCAAAGACACAGGGATGCCATGGAGTCCTGTGAAGTAGAGGTGTACATCCTCCATGGGGGTATCTTCATCAGAACATTGTAAACATTAACCTGGGTCCAACGCTCCAGCTCTGCAGCAGCCTTTATATATATATATATATATATATATATATATATATATATATATATATATATATATATATAAAATAGTCTGAACAAAGACAATAGTGTCAAAGCCACTGCTTGTGCCCAGAATGTAACACACTGAAGACACGTGGGTTTCTGGTGAGCAACCACACTTTAATAAACATCCGTTGTGTTCTTTGACCCAGGGAAATGTTCTGTGCCAAGGAAAAGAAAAATGACTGTTCGCCGTGAGGAATGTTATCACCGGGGAGACAACACTTACAAACTCAATAGTCTAGACACCAGTGCATGAGATTTTAGAGAAGGGTCAGGGGGATCCTGGGAGGTCTGCAGAAAGGAGATGGGGCTTCCCCATCCTTGAAGATCGCCTTTGGTGTAAGGAAGGAAGTGCGGAGAGGGTGCTGGGTGCAGATAAGGAGACAGGGTGTTTCAAGTCAAGGAAGGACTAGAAGATGGAGACGGACATGGATGCTGAAACCAGTTCAGCACTAAAGAAGAGGAGAGGCCCTCACAGGAGTGAGAGGGCTAGAGCTTTTAAATACGTTTCCGTGAACCCTTCCTCCCCCGGAACACTGTCCCTTCAGCCACAGGCAGCAGATGTGATAACTCCTTAGGAAAGAAGTACAGAGTATACATCATGAAAGAATTCTTAAACTTTAAATAGCAAGATTTCCTGAGTTCTTGGTCTCTGACCTACAGTCTAAGTGCATTTGAACTTTGAGTTCTCTTGTGTCTCTGTGGAAGAGTAATGCTGCTTTTCAGTGTTCAGAATTAGATATGCTGCTGTCTGGAAGTTAATTTAGTGCTCAGCACTTAATTCCCTTTTATTTGCACCTCCTACTTGTTCTAAAGTATCTGAATTGGTTTCACTGTGTAACATAATGCCTAAATGGAACTTGGAGGAAGAAGAGCTCTTTTGCTGTCCGGTGTCAGTGACTAGTGCTTGAGAATCAACCCCTAAGAGGCATTGTGATTTAAAATGAACTTAATCACATGTACATGCAACACCTGTGATACAGTGAGCCTTAGCGTTGGGTCTGAGGGCCTAGATCATTTTCCTTAACTAATTGTTGAGAAGCTATGTCTCACTTTGCTCCGGGACATAGTTATAGTGCTGGGGGAACTGAGACAGGCCCAAGTTCCATATCTGTCCTCGTCAGTAAGTGGCCAGGTAACGCCTGCAA